GGGGAGGCAGGGAAGGGGCAACATGGTGCAGGGTACAGTGGGAAATCTAGGTATGGGGGTGAGACAGCCAACACCTGAGGGAAGGGGGAAGCAGCACGGTGTAAACCCATTGCTCCAATCAAGCAGGGTTTCCAATGAAATAATTTTTAATATGATTCTTTTTTCTTTTTTACTGACAACCAAACTTCTTTTACTATGGTTGATGTTACACCCCTAAATTTGAACCCAGTCCTTCTAAATTTGAACCCAGCCCTTCTAACTGGGGCCTGGCAGAAGCATTATAATTTATATTACCGTAACAGAGAGCCTGGGCTCCCTGCCACTAAGAGGGAAAGCGCCCAGTCACAACCATGTGGGGAAGGCAGGGCACAGCTGCATCTGGGCTGCTGTGACAGCTAGATAATGAGACTAATTAGGAGGTACCTGCAAGCAACCCTGGAGAAGTCAGCAGACTAGAAAAGGGGCAGGTCCTGAGGGATATAAGGCAGCCTGGCTGTGAAACCTGAACAGGGAAGAGCTCTGCACAGGTGCCTATGGCTGTGAGCCAGATGGGGAGTGGGCTAGGCTTGGAGACGGCTAGGGAAGCTGAGGGCTAGCAGCTGATTAAGACCCAGGGTTAGGGTCATAGTTTTATAGCCAGAAGGGCTTCTTGTTTTGATTTCAGTTTGGTCCAGTGCCCAGCAGGGACTAGATACCTGCAGTTTTGTCTGGTGCCTGGAGGTGGGGACCAGGAGGGTCTGGTACCCAGAGGGAGACTAGATACTGATGGAAAAGCCAGTGGTTTGGGGGGGAACTGTGAGGGGTTATTTGGAGGTCCCAGGGGAAGTCCCAAAATGGGCAGTCCTATAGTGCCTAGAGAGGGCAAATCAGACATGCCCAAGAGGGGCAATCCCATAGTGCCTAGAGAGGGCACATTGAGCATGCCCAAGACAGGTGATCCCAAAGCACACCTAAGAGGGGGAAGCATGACAGAGTGCCTGAGAGGGGTGATCCCAAAGCAGGGCAGAGTTCAGGGCCAGAGGGCATGGGAGCCTAAGAAGGGAAGAGCTTGGAAGCCAGGGAGCCTGGGAGTGACCCAAGAAGGGTGAAGACTGAGGCCAGAGGGGGCAGAGACAAAGGCCTTGAAAGACCAGGCAGGAAGCTGGGAACCCCAAAACTCGGTTCAGTCAGTGGACCAGAGCTAGGGGGCCCACAAAGAGAAAAAGGGCAGAAGCTGAGACAGCTGAACCCCAACACAAGAACAATAGCAGGCTTGCTCTAAGACTCTCAGGCAGTCTTCTTCCTACTAAAGTAACATCAAGGATGAGTGAGAAAGTGAGGGTCCTCCACAGTTAGAGCCAGGGGAGGAATTATGTACCCACCAGGAGGTGACGCAGCTGCCCCTGAGGCCTGAACTTGTCACAATTACATAAAACATACATCGGTATAAACTAGGCCTGTGCAACCCATAAGTATTCGCTTCGGACTTCGATTCGCCCAATTCGGAGGGACAGCGATTCAATCCAGTGATTCAAATCACTGTCCCAATTTGATTCAGCTGATTTGGATTTGAAGATTCGGCCACAGACTAAACAGGCAGCAGTCCTCACCACACTGCACACAGCTGCCTCCAGCTGGTAAGTCTGTTGTAGTGGGCAGAGGGGGGAGGGATTGGGCTGGGACAAGCTGCCTAGCCGGGGTGGGGAATGCAGGAGTTGGGGAGGGGGGGATCCCGCAACTGTGCACTGCCGGTCCAGGTCATCAGAGCGGGTGTGTACCCCTGGATCTGCGCAGGGTGGGCTAAGCCAGGCTGCGCTCTGGATGGGCGGCGGAAGGCGCTGGGAGTGGATGCTATGCCCTCCTGCTGCTCGCCCAGCCTTCCTGTACCTCCCGGACAAGTCGCAGCTTCGCTCCAGTTGGGTAAGCAGCAGCAGGGCATGGTGGTGAGCACGTGTGCCTGGATGGAGGAGGGGCCAACGGCAGAGGCTTTGGGGAATTTTAGGGTGGCTGCAGCCCACCCAAAGCCTCCACTCCACTGTGCTCTATATGGTGGGCAGAGCCAGACTGTGGCTGGGTGGCGGGTGCTAGCCTCCCCAGTCCAGCCTGCACCTAATCTTTGTATTGATGCATCCCAAAACCATATCTACCCTTTGTGCTGCTACATTACACTGCAGACTCGTATTGAGTTTGTGATCTAGCAAGATTTGCAGATTCTTCTACACAGTGTTGCCATCCAGCCATATGTCACCTATTTTTTATCTGTCTTTCAATTTTCTTCCCAAGGTGTAGTAGCTTGCATTTATCCGCATTGACATTCATCCTGTTAGCTCCAGCCCAGCTTTCCAGTCTGCAATTCAGAAGAAGCTTGACTTTCTTAGAATCATAGAATCACAGAAAATTAGGGCTGGAAGGGCCCTCAGGAGAACATCTAGTCCAACCACCTGCTCAAAGCAGGATCATCTC